CCGGTTACAGGTTGTACAATTTACAAAGTTACCCATGCAGGTGTTACTCTTACCTAAAAACAACAGATAAATCTATGTTTTCTCTCGGACGTAATATGAGTCTATGTTACTGTTATCCTTTCAAGTTCCTTATCAGTATTAATGAAAATAATAAACTTCATTTTCAAATAATATTTTACAAGCCAGTAATCGTAGTTAACTTCAAATTGAAAAGTATTAACATTCAAATCAAATCAAATCCTTTATTTCTATTCACATGCAACTTATTAGTTGTGTTATTTGTGTAATTGATCCATTTTTGTTATTCACCACTCATGAATGACTTCAAATACATTAATATCTTACAATAGACTGCCTCCAGCTAATGCACAAATTACTTTAAAACCATTTCAAGATTCTTTTGGAAGCAAGTAATTGGTATCCATGGCCTAGCAATGTGCTGCCATCTATGAGCTATTCAACTCAAAATATCCATATTTTGAGCTATCACATAATACATAACCACCAACAGAATTTAATTAAGTAAGTCAGGATTAATTACTTATACTCTTATTATAGTATATATCAGTATGCAGTCAGACGAAACACAACTCTAATGCAAAGGTTATGTGTCATTCAGAAATACCCAGCATGATCTAGCGAGGGTCGTGCAGTATTCTCCATACAATTCTTACCACTCTGCTAGATCAGGTGAATGATTTTCTGGAAATTTCACCTCAGAATATTGCTTTATAGAACTGCAAAGTCTTTTCAGCTGAGTACTTGAACTTCTAGCTATCATTCAGTTGTGCAAATTATTGATAGTCTTAGTGTTGCACTTACTAACAATAACCACTCTAAACTGTATTAATCAAACAGTTAACATTCAATATCTCTTATAATGAAACTCTGCTTGATATCTAAAAAGTCATAAAGCCCTTTTGGTCCAGGTATCTTCATATTACGGGCCCGGCATGGCCAAGTGGTTAGGGCGCTCGACTCGCAATTTGTGGGTCGCGGGTTCGAATCCCCTTCACACCAAACATGCTCGCCCTTTCAGCCGTGGGGACGTTATAATGTGACGGTCAATCCCACTATTCGTTGGTAAAAGAGTAGCCCAAGAGTTGGCGGTTGGTGGTGATGACTAGCTGCCTTCCCTCTAGTCTTACACTGCTAAATTAGGGACGGCTAGCGCAGATAGCCCTCGTGTAGCTTTGCACGAAATTCAAAACAAACAAACAATCTTCATATTAAATAACTGACGTAATATCAGATAATCAAGTGGTAGTCATATTATGTAGTAGATACACCGTATTTTGAAATACCACCCAATAACCCAGAAAGCAAGGACCACAATGCTCTTTCATTTGAGTCTTCAAACTCCTAGCTATAACCTCCAATTGTGCAAAATGTTGATGTATTAGGTATTGTATCTACAGCTGTCTTAGCTTTATGGTAACAAAGTGGAAATCATATAATATATTATATGGTGAACATCACTTAATAACAAGGATCGTCACTTCCTTTCAATCACTGAATGTCCTTACTCTTGATCGAGGCTAAGTCCAGACTTATCAATTCAAAGGTCGGTGGTGGAAGTTTCGTAGTCTATTAGAGATGTGTCTCGCCTCTAGATCCGGCACTTCCTCATCTGACCTATCTGGAACAGCCAGATAAGTATTCTCGGCTCTTCCCTCCTCATCTTCAGAGTTAGGGTGAGATAAAATGATGTTTTCATTCTCACCTCATTTGAATATTTCCTCTTCTGGCTCTTGGTAAAACCAATTTTCCTGAGATTCATTAGTCACGCATGGATGCAGCTGGTTGACATGTACTATGGGCTTTTGCATGCTCTTCGAGCACTTTCACTCGTATGTCAATAGAGCAACTGTCTTATTATAGTACATCTTCTGTCATACGGTGGTCTTTCCTCGCTGTTAACATGCACACTCGTGTGTGTTAACTAACACAGACTTTAATCACTCCACATATTATTGTAAATATTTTGGGACATCTGCTCTAGATGAAAGATCATCTATAGGAAGCAAAAATTATTGGCCAAATATGAAAGCTTTCAGTTAATAACCTGGTGATCTCTATTCACTTGGTATTCCATCTTGGTGTAGGTTAAGTGTTCATCTAAGTTGGTTAATTGAACAAAATGAGAAACATATTTTTAACAGTCTGTATTATCCTTTCATCTAACACAACAGGCTAGAGCTAATAAGAAAAAGTGAACGTCTTCACCACACCCTACACTTTACAGAGCTAAGAGAACAGTTGGTTATTAAAGCTAGCTCCTTAATCTGTGTCGGATCTGCATATATACAGAATAAAAATAAGTTCAGACTAAATATTATTAAAATTGAAACTAATACCATACTATTTTGATGCATTGTTGGAATTTTCTTGTGGAATTTTAGTGACAAAAATTCCTTTTTTGACCAGTCTTCGAAATAAGACTCTAAGATTTAGTCAGAAAATTACCAGCCATCTGTATTTGAGAGTAAATACTTTTAACTTTTATCTGAAAGATGACCTGGACTTGCTGTTTTTAGAAGTAAATTCTCTGTCGTTTAAACAGAAGGATGACCAAATGAATTACACCTTGTGGTCCACCATAACTTGTACTTGACACTAAGTTGTTTTTGCCTCTTTGGTGTAGACAGAAAGACAATCAGTATGACTTACACTTGAAACTGTATTATTTTCGGTTTAATAAAAAAGTGAACCCAGTGATAAACTTTTCATACAATACTGACTTTGACTTAGATATAAAAATGACTGTCTTAAGCCTCATGTGAAATTTTGTGTATTTGATTTAATCAGAAAAATGACCAAAGTACGTTACAGTTAGAACAAGATTGTTTTTACTAGAAGGATCACGAGGATGACTGGTAATACGTTGATACAAACTAATATTACTCTCTTACAACACGTGATTAAGAAACGTAAAATTAAAAGTTTTTATTTTTCATAGTGAAGATAATATGGATAGCAAAATATAACAATCAGTTGAAGAATTTTCTCAATTGTTCTTTGGGTATTCTAGTGTGTGATCTATTAAAGTATCACACATTTCCAAGTACTGAGAAAAAATACCTGTGATATATACAAAAATAGATCTAACATTTTAAAAGTATTCTTTCTCTAGTATTCTATTCTTTTTTTTTCTTTTTGGAGTACACAACTATGAGAGTAAATAAGTTTCTCCAACAAGGAAGAGTGTGATACATGACGATACAACGGGTTTCTTACCTTCTATAGTGATATAAATTATTTTATTTATTTAGTTTGCACACTGTCATGGTGTCAAAACACAGTCAAGAGTTGTTAGAGTTCTAGCTACTTCCCCATTTTGTCTCTAGTAGGTGACGTCCTCTCGTGGATATTTCAGTATTGTGTGTAGAAACCAGGTTGAATAGGTTAGAGCTGATATATCATTTGCTGGCAGGTTGTGACGTTAACTGAAGCTGACAGCTAACCAATGCTATCAGGGAATAAAAGATATGAGATGATGCTGTCCACTGGATAAAGAAAGCAAGTTAACATTCTGGATTTAGGAACACTTTCTTTGTTTAAATCTACTTAACTTTCATCTTGACTTGTCCGGCAGAGATTGGGCCATCCATTGGACGAAGAAAGCAAGTTAACATTCTGGATTCAGGCACACTTTCTTTGGTCAGTTATACTTAGCTTTCATCTTGACTATTCTGGCACAGATTGAGATGTCCTTTGGACAAAGAAAGCAAGTTAACATTCTGGATTCAGGCACGCTTTCTTTGTAAAGTTCTACTTAGCCTTCATCTTGACTTGTCCGGCAAAGATTCATCGTGAGAGACAGAAAGATGATGTGCAATTTGCCGATCCAGTAGAAGCGATCGTCCTCTTGTCTAGGTAGGTACAATTATGTTTATGTTATGTCTAAATAAAGATTGTTTACACTATCATTCAAATGTGTCCGGTCTGTTTATTTCTGATTCACTTAAAATTCAATCAAGTTATCAACTACAGAATACTTCCCCCCTTATTTCTTGATAAAATCTGCTGTTATTTGCAGGTTTACCTGTCTGAAACTTGTCGGGAAATTGGTTTCACTTGAAAATACCACAAGAACTTCACATAACGAAACTATTATCATATCACTCTAAGTGACAGCTGGTATGTTTATCATCACTACCTCTTCACGATTATTGTGGAAACTGCACACTGATTCCAGTAAAAGGGAAGACGTTGTTTTTGGTTTTATGAAATTTTAAAACAATATGAATTAATCTTGTTAGTTTACTGTCTAGCTATTTACCCAAAATTGTTTACAATAAAATGAATTGTTGGCTTCATACACTTTTGTGTTTGATGTGTTCACAATATGTTCAACAATAATAAAGAAAAATTTTAAATTAAAATGTATATAAACAGAGTATTTTAATGAAACTTTACCAGTAAATTATTGATAAGCATGAAGTTATCTATATTTCGTATTTGCTTATTCATTTTTGCTATGAAAAAGAATGAATGTTAATATAGTTTACACAAAATATGTTTATTTTTAAATCCTTAATTTGCAAGTGAATAATTGCATAACGTTGTACTTCCTGATACGAAACTATTTATTAAACCCTTTTACAGCACATCTTAAATATAAAAAAAGATATTTATTTAAGATATTTTTAATCGTTAACATGTACCCTTAATATACATTAATATTTATAACAACTGAGTTCCAGTATTGAAATATACAAATTTTCGAAAGGTTAATAGATATTAAGTATTATACTTCTGGTTGGAGAAGTAACATTACGAGCTTCTTAGACTGGTAAACATTTTAATTTTATGTTCTAGTCTTTACGTTTAAATAACTTATGAGTGTGCATGAAGAGATTATGCTACATAACTGGAATACACTTCAAATTGAATAATATCAAAGATAATATGTTATAAATCTAGCAAAATAAGCTCATGAAATTTGATTATAAGCACCGGTGTTGCGGGATTGTCATAATAATATTTAGTTTATACTTGTATGTATGGTGTTTGCATGTCTCCAGTTTAGTTTTACTCATGACAGTGACCCTTTATTTATAGAAGTTTTGAAGAAAGTTTAGCATTGATGCTACTTGTTTATTCTTCTAAGTTATTCAACAGACACGTATTTTTTAATATTATAAATATACAGTTTAATCTACAGTCACTAAATTTTACCGGTTTTGAGGATTTCCACCCCTCATCAGTCATCCTAGACAAGGGCAAATCGAAATAATGAGACGGCTTCTTAAGTTATAGTGGTGGAGTGTTTATTTAAATTTATTTGGATTTAGTTGCATATTTCAATTTTAAAATATTGTTAATTTTGGGTTTGTAGGTTGGAGACAGGTATTTCGTATTAACCTAATTTAAATATGAAAAGGGACAGGAACATTTCATCTACATGAGGAAAGAAGACTAGGTCAACTCGGTGTTCAGAATTTTCAAAGCTTTTGACAGATATTGTATAGAAAAACTTTTTAATTAACTACTGTGGCTGTTGAGGCTAAAAGCTGCATTAACTTCATAAGTTTTTGAGATAGTGTATATGTCTTATCTAGCGTATGAGTTATCCAACAGTGAAATTTTGAATTAGACATCACCTGAATAAATTTATCTTGATTTCTGTTTGCATAAAATGCAGTTTGATACTAGTAAATTAAATGATTATATTACTTAGAAGTTTCAGGAGGTTGAGACATATATGTACCATTGTTGTTTACTTTTTTCCAAGTTTGTTACTTTTTAAAAGATAAACTTTGGTATTGAAGAAGGTACTATGAATTCTTGGAAGTTTTTGCAAATCAAATTTTTCTTGGTTTTTGAATTATTTTTTTTTATAGAAGTTATCTATGAGGTCCTATTTATGAATGTACATTCAAAGCTCTTTGAATCTTCAGGTTTCCTTATTAACCAGATCTTAGAATGGCAGATTATGAGAAACGTATCAATGAACTGACTACAGAAAGGGATCGTCTCAAAGCAGAGGTGGACCGTCTGCATCGTGAGCTGGTCCATACCAGTCGTGAAAAGATTAAATCTGCCCAGTATGGTTTAGTGTTGCTAGATGAGAAAAAAGCACTTCAACAAAAATGTGAAGATCTCGAGGCCCAGCTGGATACAACTAAACATGAACTGGATTGTTTAAAAGAGGTGATAAGAAAATAACAAAAGAACTTTGAGAGAGTTGTTAGATCTCTATGTTTTATGATGTGTAAGTTTGTAATCTTAATACTATGTACGTACACGAGGAACCTTTGATAAACTTTTTAACTGTTTTATACGATAGTCCGTCATCCTGTTCCTTGTTTCATGATACTAATGAAGAAAATTTTTACACATTATCAGAAATGTGTTGACGTTTGACGACTTTGACCTCCGTACAGAAACTACATTAACAGACATGTTAACATTTTGTTTTAGATTTGTTAGTATAATTTCTGCACACTATTCTATTAATGCTATTCTCATTAAGTTTTAACCTACTTACAATAGGAGACCTTAATACTATATTTATGTGCAAGTTATTTAAGCATTCAATACAGAAAAGGGTTTAATTAGTTTTGTCAAGGAAATTTCTATGTACTAATTTAGTCGAGGACATTCCAGTTTCCAGTTTCATTCACAACGTTGTCATCTCTCAGTTTATCAGACTGTTTTATTTGTACTTAGCTTAAGAAAACTTACTTAAGGTTGTTCAACAAATTTCAGCCCCTGGCTTCTGCAGATGAGGAACTATTGGAAGGAAGGAAAACAAAAGGATCAGAGAAGGATGTGGATGATTAGGAGGTTATAGGTGATTCCTTGACAAGGCATGCGGGTAGAATA